TCTCGTGCTCCAGAGGGGTTCGCCGATGCGGCCGCCCTGCTTCCTGCTCCAGAGCGGCTCGGCCGGTGTGCCCACGCTGCCTCAGTTCCTGTTGCAGTTCCTGCGCCCGAGCGGGTTGGCCAGTGTGCTGATGCCACCTTTGTTCCGGTGCCTGGTGGACTGCATTGGAGTCGCCCTCCGGAGCGGCCTCTCCTCAACCCTTGTCTGGCGTCGAGGCCGTCCTCCAGACCGACCGCTCTGGTTCTCGGCCTTATGCGGGTTGGTTCCTGCAACTTGGGTCGTTTTTCTTTGATTGGACTATGTACACAGTCCGGTGTTTGTTGGCCGGTCATCCTGTGTTTTCAGTTTTGCTGTGTGGCCTCAGTGTTCCCGGCCTGTGGCTGTCTGTTTGTTTTGGTGCCCTCCTTCCGGGCCCCTGCCTCCCTCTCTGTTCAGCCCTGTTGTGGTTTTTTGTTTTTTGGGATGTCTGGCAGCCATCCTTGAGGGGAGGTACTGTTACGGTGTCGTGTCGGTCGGCTTTGTTTGTTTACCTGTTCTCTCCCCGCTACTCTGTCACCGCAATTAGTTGCCATGTCAGTCACCTGTTGCTTGTTATCTCCCAGTCCTGTCCCTTGTGGTTTTTCTCTGCAATCAGTCATCATTCCTCCCACCTGCTGCTCGTTGTCTCCCAGTCCCTTCAGGTATATATACACACCCTGTCTTCTGCCGCGTTTTTGCTGGTTCATACCACACTGTTACCTTACCTTTATGCTACGATACATTTACGCTACACTACCCGGTTAGCATTACATGTGTTTGTGTCCTGAGCTTTCCATCTGTTCGACTCCGTGTTCCCGTCCTGTTCCTGTTTGTTTCAGCATGTCAGCAGCTCTGATAACGCAGCAGCGGGTCAATCATCAAGCTCGCTGTTTCTGTTGGTTAAGTGCATAAGCCCTCGGCTCTTCATCCTTCAGTTTCCTGATTGCTGATACTGCTACCCTGTGTGTCTGACTACTTCCACGACCCTGTGTACTCGTCCGTCGACTCACCTGTCATCCTGGTCCTCCTGGCTGCTGCCTGCTTACCTGCTTGTCTTCTGGTTCCTGTGTCGCTCCTGGTGTCTGCTCTCCTGCTTGTCCTCTGGTTCCTGTGTCTCTCCTGCTGCCGGCTCTCCTGCTCGTCCTCTGTTTTCTGTGTCTCTCCTGCTGGTTCCTCGTACCCCCTTGGTTCCTCCTGGTCGGCTCGTCCCTCCTGGTCCTCTCTGGTCTCCTCGTCCCTCTTGGGTTCCTGCCTCGTCCCTCCTGGTCTCCTCCCTGATCTCCTCCGTCCTCCTGGTCTCTTCCCTTGGTCCTCGTCTTCCTGCCACCCTGGTCCTCCTGGGTCCTCGTCTTCCTGCTGGTCCCTGGGTCCTCGTCTTCCTGCCACCCTGGTCCTCCTGGGTCCTCGTCTTCCTGCCACCCAGCCTTACCTGTGTTTTGTTCATTAAACTGCTTTCTTTAGCTCATACTCCTCCTGGTCTGTGTCTGCAACTGGGGTCCACACCACACTCATACATAACAGTATGTGTGTGTCGCTGTGTCCCGTCCGTGTGTGTCAGTGCTGTGTACCCGGCACCTCTGAGCTCCTGAACTGCCACACATGCATAGATGTAAGTGAAATGTGAGGCACGTGCGCACAAGAATAACACCGAGGTGGTGTGTGTGACGGTCAAATGGCCCAGTTTCCTCCCAAACTGCTAGGTTACGATATGTTCCTCCCAGTTTGGCCTGATCAGAAGCTTCTCCATAAATGTCCAGCACATGTGAAACGTCCTGGTCTCTCCACTGACCCCGTCAATGTGGTCGCTCTCCTCCATGTTTATTGTTACCGGTCTGTGAGATGCCAAATGATGACGACAGGCTGTATGTGCAGAGGAGATGTTAAAACGACCACACGGATTCTGATCTGACCATTCTGACGGCACTCGCGCATTCAGAGGTCAAAGAGGAATCAGATCTAGGAGCACATACACAGGTGGCCCAGATCTGGTCTGAGGACATCTGGTCTGGTCTGGTCTGGTCTCTTCACACTGCTGTGGACACACCAGGCCTGAGGCACTGGGAGGGACACTTCACATCTGGAAATGTTAGCAGGTTCATGTGAATGTGGCTAAAATGCAGAGTCAGCAGTGAGAAGGGCTTAGCAGAGTTTTCAGTTTTATGTTACTACTGATGGACCTGCAGCACAGTGTCGACAGAACAGAAGATGATGATTCTCTAGTACCCTGCATTAGTATCAAATTTTTTCCCCAAGAATCATTAAGGTTTGTTTATTAAAGGACTGTTTCTCCAACTGCCTCCAACAGGAAATACAAAAGATCAGGGCATTAATGTCTGTTTCACCGACCTGCTACCCTGTGTGTCTGACTACTTCCACGACCCTGTGTACTCGTCCGTCGACTCACCTGTCATCCTGGTCCTCCTGGCTGCTGCCTGCTTACCTGCTTGTCTTCTGGTTCCTGTGTCGCTCCTGGTGTCTGCTCTCCTGCTTGTCCTCTGGTTCCTGTGTCTCTCCTGCTGCCGGCTCTCCTGCTCGTCCTCTGTTTTCTGTGTCTCTCCTGCTGGTTCCTCGTACCCCCTTGGTTCCTCCTGGTCGGCTCGTCCCTCCTGGTCCTCTCTGGTCTCCTCGTCCCTCTTGGGTTCCTGCCTCGTCCCTCCTGGTCTCCTCCCTGATCTCCTCCGTCCTCCTGGTCTCTTCCCTTGGTCCTCGTCTTCCTGCCACCCTGGTCCTCCTGGGTCCTCGTCTTCCTGCCACCCTGGTCCTCCTGGGTCCTCGTCTTCCTGCCACCCAGCCTTACCTGTGTTTTGTTCATTAAACTGCTTTCTTTAGCTCATACTCCTCCTGGTCTGTGTCTGCAACTGGGGTCCACACCACACTCATACATAACAGTATGTGTGTGTCGCTGTGTCCCGTCCGTGTGTGTCAGTGCTGTGTACCCGGCACCTCTGAGCTCCTGAACTGCCACACATGCATAGATGTAAGTGAAATGTGAGGCACGTGCGCACAAGAATAACACCGAGGTGGTGTGTGTGACGGTCAAATGGCCCAGTTTCCTCCCAAACTGCTAGGTTACGATATGTTCCTCCCAGTTTGGCCTGATCAGAAGCTTCTCCATAAATGTCCAGCACATGTGAAACGTCCTGGTCTCTCCACTGACCCCGTCAATGTGGTCGCTCTCCTCCATGTTTATTGTTACCGGTCTGTGAGATGCCAAATGATGACGACAGGCTGTATGTGCAGAGGAGATGTTAAAACGACCACACGGATTCTGATCTGACCATTCTGACGGCACTCGCGCATTCAGAGGTCAAAGAGGAATCAGATCTAGGAGCACATACACAGGTGGCCCAGATCTGGTCTGAGGACATCTGGTCTGGTCTGGTCTGGTCTCTTCACACTGCTGTGGACACACCAGGCCTGAGGCACTGGGAGGGACACTTCACATCTGGAAATGTTAGCAGGTTCATGTGAATGTGGCTAAAATGCAGAGTCAGCAGTGAGAAGGGCTTAGCAGAGTTTTCAGTTTTATGTTACTACTGATGGACCTGCAGCACAGTGTCGACAGAACAGAAGATGATGATTCTCTAGTACCCTGCATTAGTATCAAATTTTTTCCCCAAGAATCATTAAGGTTTGTTTATTAAAGGACTGTTTCTCCAACTGCCTCCAACAGGAAATACAAAAGATCAGGGCATTAATGTCTGTTTCACCGACAGAAACAGTTTGTGTTTTTTTTTTTTTTATTAACTTTTAATCCATCCATATTCATTTGGGACTGTCGCGAGGGCAGTAGTCCAAACTTCTGCTATCTTTTGTGCTGCATCAGAATCCACCCTTTGTTTGTGTTCACTCCAACAAACCAGTTGAACCTCTAATATGTCCACATGTTAGCTTGTTCATGCTAGCAGCTTTGCAAATCAAATGGGTAACCCTAACCCTAGCATCAGTTGTTTTGTTTTTTTTGCAGAGCTGCAGCTCTGAAATGAAACTGGGTGTCCTCTTGTTTTTATGCAAGATTTATGTTGGCTAGCCTTAGCAGCCTCAGGTTTGGTGGTAGTGAAGAGAAGAGGGATACAGAGAGAACTTTGCTCCAACAGGGACTTCATTCTGTCTTGCCTCACCAAACATATATTTGTCCTCTTATGCTCTTATACTGCACTGCAATCTTATCTAAATGCTTTTTTAGTTAACTACTGTAACTCCTGCTTTTGTCTACTCACCAGGGAGAGTGCATCTCAAATAAACCTTTTCTCGGTTTCAGGTTGACTCCTGGAACAATCAGCTGTCCTGTTTGTCTGGACTCATACTCTGAGGTGAGAGACCAGCACACCTGTTCACACCTGGGCAGCAAGGTAGAACTGTGAGCTCTGACTGGTTGTTGTTTCCTTCACAGATCATTGAGAGCAGACGATTGGTTGTTTCTACTAAATGTGGTCACGTGTTCTGCAGTCAGTGTCTAAGAGATGCTCTGACATCATCACACACCTGTCCTACCTGCAGGAAGAGACTGACCCACCGCCAGTACCACCCCCTCTACATCTGACATCACTATACACCTGAGTTGCTGCTGGACATCATCAGTGACGTCATCAGATGTTTTTTGCTGCTGGATTTTATTTGGGGAAATGCAAAACCTTCAGTTACAGCCGATTGATTTTTGATTGATAATTGATGTTAAGTTTCTGATGTCATCAGTTTTCAGATATGTCTGTTTGTTTTCTAATGTCATTTATGTGGAAAAGTATAAATAAATTCTATTGATTTGAGTGAAACATTGATTTGGATACAGACTGAATCTGTGACTTAAACTGAAGGAGCAGACAGAAATCTGAACTGACAGATACCCACAACAACACATCACAGGGCTGTTTACCAGTGAAACCAGTCAAGGGAGAAGTATTCATGTCCTGTGTAAACATACAAATACCGTTACAAGTAGGTCACGCTTTTAAAGTTTTAATAAAGGTTTTGCATCGAAATATAAAATGTCAAGTAAAACTACTAACTGTGCAAAATAATATTGATGTATTCATGTGTTTGTCACTGTAATGTTGCAGCTGCTGAGTAAAGGCTGCAATGGCCTAAGCGATACTTCTGAAGCAACCATCACTTATCCTCTCACTTAAATAGGATAAGTCCCTGAAACAGGCTGAAATAATATGAACCAGATGAAAAGGCTTTCATGACTCAATAACTAATCAGTAATCAAATAAATCAAGTGAGGTATAAAATTTGGTCATCATGCAAAATCAATCTGTTGACCATGTGCTAGTGAAAAACTGTACTTCTACATTGTGTTATTTGTACTGATTTCTTCTGGGTTGGGTTAGGGTTTGTTTTCATGTACGCTTCCACCTGGTGACTCAGGCTCACAAGACTGATGACTCACTGTCACGTGATTCAAGGTCTGTTACTGATTGGCTACTGGACATCCACCCAGAGTGATGTCATGATGCAACACCTGGCATCTTCTGGAAATACAAAAACAAAAAACAAACAGTGCATGAAACATATAATTTAAATACAACAAGAACAGATCCAGAGAAAAAAGATTACTTTCAAAACTAAAATAAAAGAGATCAAATACAACATGATATATACCATAAAAATAGTATGTACATAGAGACCACACATAAAGGGAAGGGTTGATATTTGGTTTAAATTCTACATGTAATTATTTTACATATATTATTATAACTTCATGGTTAAATTAATATCAAGACATATTCAACACCTATTGTGACTAATTCAGGAGCATGCCAGAGTTGTGTGAGCTCACCTCTACTTTATACATTGTATGATTATGAAACCAATATTCCAAAGACATTTATCTTGATTTTCTGGTGACACCACATTGTTGTCTTTGTCTCTGAAGATAATTTTGGGAGTTGTCGGTAGGCTACTGTACAGACAGGATAGTGAAATGGTGTAATGAGAGCTCACCTATTATCAATCCAAAAAAGACAAGAAATAATTTTTGGTTTTCTACCAGTCACTGTCCATAGCACACAGACTGAACAAGTATACTCTTACAGGTGTCTGTGTGGATGTTGGTTTATTTTGGAGTGCACATATAGTTTCGGTCATTAACAGGTACAATTGCATATTTATTTTCTTAGGAGACTCATTTGGAGCCAACACAGATTCTGTCATTACATTTTCAGTCAGTAAAACATAGTGTTATGCAGTATAGTATTTGTGCCTGGTAAAGATGTCTCTTTGTCCACGTTAAAACTCAACTGAACAGACTTATAAGTAATTACTTTAAGATCGTGGATCTTGGAGACAGGTTTTCAAACTAGATGTGTGAAAAGGATGTTGTTTCTGGTTGATAATATTTCATTAAATTCCTCCCATGTTTTAAATTGTGAATACCAATTGTTGCCATCAAATAGAAGATTTGGAGTCCCATGGGTTAGACTGAACCGATTTAATCGATCTTTAACTCATAAGCTTAAGCTCTCAGCAGGCCTCAGCATTGCAGATTACTTGTCTGTACTGCAGCTATCTTTCCATAATGTCTGACATGCCAAATATTTCTGTATGTTGTTGAGACTATGTATAGTATGGGTTGTGTTGTTTGTAATCGTCCCTTTTTCAGCGGATAGAGTTATGAAATATGTTCTAACAATAAAGTGTAATCTAATCCAATTAATATAGAGAAAGCCTTATTACATTTGTTTATATTTCACTTTAAACCGCTTTAGGTTTACGTATTTAAATGAAAAAACTTTATATTTAAATATTAATGAAACGTAGAACTATATTTTACTGTTCATTGAACATAAAACTTTAAACTTAATAATTAAATGTTGATCTTGATACAAAAAAACACGGCCGCTACGCCATCTTGTCTCGTGAGCATGACTGCGCGTTATTTCTCTTTAATATGAACTTTATACAGGTGGATCCCGTTGGCCACCTGACTCAAGGAAAGTCCCTCGTTGGAAAGTGCTTAGTCATTCCTCGATCTGTCATTGGTCGGTTGGGCGGAGCTTTCTAAACGAACCAACGAGAGGGAACGTCAATATTTACTTCTCCGCACGACGGTGACGTTCTCGCGGAAGTAAACATAAAGGAAGCGGAGAGGATTTAAGGCTGCGTCACAAAGTTTTCGACTTCATTTTAGTCTGTTAAAGTGTGTGTTTTCTGCCTGAAGTCTTGTTCACTGTCAGTAGTCACTCGAGTGTTCAGAGTCTGGTTCAGATCGTTTCGCTGCAGAGCCTGTCAAAGTGCGTTTTTCTGCCTGGAGCCTGGTTTAGTTTTGTCCTGTTCAGAGTGTGTAGTGTGTTCGGTTCCCGCAGCAGCATGTCGGTGACGGTGAAGGCCTACCTATTGGGAAAAGATGAGTCGGTCAAAGAGATCCGGAGGTTCGCGGTGGATCAGGACGTTTCCTGCAGCTTCGAGTATCTAAGCACGAAAACCGCAGGAGTCTTTAATAACTTGAAAAACTCACCCTTCAACTTGTACTACAGAGGTAACGATTTAATTTATTATACAAAAACATATAAATATTTATCATAAATAAATATTTCAGGTATGTGAAACCCGAAAAACGATCTCCTGTGGTTGGAGTGGTTTCACTGGACAGCTTCAGGTGTTTCTTACCTATGTGACGTAATTCAGAGCTACAGTGTTTCTAAAGGATATTTACAACACAAGTTAAAAGTTCTCTGAAATATTTCTTCTGATGTGAAGATTAATACACTTTGACTTTAAAACCTGCTGAAGTAAGTGCGTAGAACATTATTTTCATATAACATCTCGCGGGTTTGTGTTTGAGTTTATACCAATATTTTGTATGTAATTTTAAATCATGATAGTCGTTGCTGCCTTGTAAGGAAGCTTCAACTGGTCTTAACTGCTTCAGGCGTTTCATATTCCAGGTCAGGTCAACCGAATAAAGTTGAATAATCAGGATCTTTAAAATAGACTGAGGTGTTTCACTGTTTCAGATGGAGACGTTCCAATGAGTTGGATGTTTCATGACAGTACTAATAAAATGATGATGATGATGTTTCAGATGAAGATGGAGACCTGGTGGCATTTTCCTCTGATGACGAACTGATGATGGGTCTGGCTTGTATGAAGGACAACACTTTCCGCCTCTTCATCAAAGGTATGACCTCACATGGACGTCATCTTCCTCCATTTAAAACCAGCTCATGGAGGAGGAAACGTGCAATGATGTTTGGAGCCTAGCGAAACTAGTTTCTACATTACAGATGTCAACATCATTTTTTTTCCTTTTCTTTTTTGTTTGTTTTTTTGCCACACTAAATGAAAACACACCTGTGTGGCTATTAATGTAGAGTTTATATGCAAGGATAAAATTGTTTTTCTTTAATATAGCCATCACAGATGATTTATAACATTTAATTGTACTAAGTTATTTATAATATGAAATATAAATATTATATACACTACTGTTCAAAAGTTTGGGATCACTTGGAAATTTCCTTGTGTTCCATGAAAACACACTTGAAATTAGTTTGAATAGGAAATATAACAATTCTTTGCAGTTGTGCCTTGAAGCTCAGCATCCTTGAGTGACCTCTTTATTGTTGACGCTGGCATTTGGTGGGTACTATTTAATGAAGCTTAAAGCTGAGGACCTGTGAGGCATCTGTTTCTTAAACTAGACACACTTGGGTATTTGTCCTCTTGCACACTTGTGCACCAAGGCCTCCTGCTCCTTTTTCTGTTCTAGTTAGAACCAGTTTGCGCTGTTCTATGAAGGGAGTAGTTCACAGCATGGTAAGATATTTTACATTGAATAGCCTTCATTTCTGAGCACAACAATAGACTGACATGTTTCCAAATAATTTTTATAACCTAAAGGAGGACACTTTTATCACTTCCTTAATCAGTACAACAGTTTTCAACTGTGCTAACACAATTGCAGAACGGTTTTCTAATTATAAAATGATTAACTTTGATTAATAAACATAACATGAGATCAAAACACAGAACTGATGGTTGCAGATAATGGGCCTCGGTGCAACAATGTAGAATTTTCATTCATAACATTATCAGTGTCTGTCCTGTATTTTTGATTAATTTGATGTTTGAAATGAATAAAATGGGGTTTTCCTTGGAACACAAGGACATTTCCCAAACTTTTGAACAGTAGTGCATCTATGGCTCTCAGCCTCAGCACTGGCTCTACACCCTGTACACCCATGACTGCACCCCCGCCCACCACAGCAACACCATTGTAAAATTTGCTGATGACACCACAGTGGTGGGGCTTACCTCTTGGGGGCATGAGACTACCTACAGGGTTGAGGTGGAGAGGCTGATAGTGTGGTACAGAGAGAACAATCTGCTCCTTAATACCTCAAAGACTAAGAAGGTCATTGTCGACTTGAGGAGGAAGAAAACCGACATCTTGCCACTGTATATCAGCAGGGACTGTGTGGAGAGGGTGCCAGCCTTCCGCTTTCTGGGAGGATCTGACCTGGGGCATGAATACCTCTGGACTGTTTAAAAAGGCCCAGCAGAGACTGTACTTCCTACAGGTGCTCAGGAAGAACAACATCTCCCAGATCCTTCTATCGGTGCTCCATTGAGAGCATCCTTACATACTGTATATGTGTATGGTACAGCAGCACAGTGGCCGTTCACTCTTTGAACTGCTGCCGTCAGGTAGACGGTTCAGAGCGATCAAATCAAGGACCACTAGATTCGGGAATAGTTTTTACCCAACAGCAGTTATTCATCGAAATATGACTTTTGTCCTTTGTCATGAATATTATAGAATAAAAATGTTTAATTATTTTGGTTTTTATGTAGAAAACACACTGTGTCTGTTCATTTCTAATAAAGTTTGATTGAACTCTTTCAGAGAAGAAGGAGCACCGTCGGGACTTTCCTCTCCACGCCTTCCCCCCCTTCACCTTCAGCCCTCCTCCTCCTCATGGCCCACCTCCTCACCATGCTCCCCACCATGCCCCACCCCCTGCCCTGCACCCCGGTGTCACCTGTGATGGTTGTGATGGCCCCGTAGTGGGAACTCGCTTCAAGTGTTCGGTTTGTCCAAACTATGACCTGTGCTCCACCTGCCAGGCCCGTGGGACACACACGGAGCATGCTCTGCTGCCCATCTGGCACCCACTGCAGGTGAGGGGCATGATGGGAAGAATGCTTGAAACCCTGCTCTCTGACTGACCGGAGGTCTTGTTTTATTCCCTGCTCTGACTGTCAGGCTGTGTTGGTGAACTGTTCTTTCCTTTTCTGTCTGTAGTGGTGTCCTCGGGGGAAGTGGCTGAAGAAGATGAGACACTGTATGTGGAACCGGAACCTGGACCAGGCTCAGGACCAGGCTCAGGACCAGGCTCAGGACCAGGCTCAGGACGGATCTTCCAGACCTGTTGCTGACTGCAGCACCCCTTCCGGTCAGTGTCTGAAAAACCTGCTTTCACTTAGTCTTATGGATATCAAGATTGATGAGTGAAACAGTAAATAAACAAATAAATTGATAAGCGAATGTTGTGAGTGATGGCCTTTAATGACCTATGACCCCTCATTAATGATGTTGTGAGTGATGTCTGACCTCTCTCTGCAGCCTCTCAGGCCAATGTGGACTTCCTGAAGAACATTGGGGAGGGTGTTGCAGCTATGTTGAGCCCACTGGGTGAGTGATGTCACTGATCATATCTGAGATTAATCAAGCTTTCTGATTGGCCGAGAGTGAACCCAGAACCTGTTAAGAGGAAGTGTGGGTGGTCTTTTCAAAGTAACAGTATCATTAAAGGAGGAGTTTGCTGCTGAGGATCAGTTCAAATGTAGTTGCTTTATTATTTATTTTAATCTATATTTTTACAGTTTTAATCCTTTTAAATCCAGTTTTTCTTTTCTTTTGAGCTGCAATGTTTAGTTGATTAATTGATTGATAAAACTGATTTGTAGCTATTTTGACCTTTTGTTTTTCCATTTTCTGACATTTTAATGGCAAAATAATCAGCAGATTAATTGATTAGTTTTAGCCCCATTTGTCCTGATACTGTTTTGCAACACAATGTTTTATATATTAAAAAAACTTCAGGTGTTAAACTAATGGAGTTGATTTGCCATAAACAAGAAGTGATGTCATATGTGCAGGTATCGATGTGGACATTGATGTGGAGCACAAGGGTCAGAGGACCAAAGTAACCCCTCCTAGTCAGAGTGAGGGGGTGGAGGGTGATGTGGAGATGGATGGCGGGGGCAGCGAGGGGTCAAAGGTCAGTTCATGAAAAACAGCTGTGTGATGGTCTGTTGGTACAGGTAGGACCAGATTAACCCCGGGACAAAAACCTGTTCTTGGGTCTCTGAGTCTCTTTGTAGTCTGGTGTTTATACACTACCTTTCCTACAAATAAACAAATGAGTTAATCACAGCAGTTAGCTAAGCATAATCAGATACTTCTGTCTTATTGACATGTAATTGTAAGTAACCGTGAAACACAACACCTACATTTATGCATTATAATGCTTTTACTCGCTTATCTTCAACCTGTTGAGCACTAGTTACACAATCGTCAGTAAACAAAGTTCACACACAAACCCTTCACAGATTTCTGTTTAGAACCTGCACAGATGGTTCAGAGTTGAGCAGCTCACTAAAAATATATGTATTTTAATTTTAAGAATCTGTTTCACTGAGAAATATTAAAAATAACTGTATAATTTACAGCAGACCAGTGACTTTTTAAGTTGTTTTAACAAACCACTACAGAATAATCATACTACAGTATGAATACTACTGCGACAGCTATCATCTTTCACCTTTGAATTTGGTTAAAAAAAAGTTATGTGGGTTGCATTCAAATTAGGGCTGTCAAAGTTAATATAATAACATGTTAACGCAAATTCCTTTTAACGCCACATATTTTTTGATGTACAATTAATGGACCCACATTGTGTGGTAATTACCTTTGGCCCGGCCTGTAGTTTGGGAAATCAGGAAGCGATGCAGAAATGGATAAAGAAAAGAATTTTCTGAACGGTAAGTTCAGCTTCAGAGCCCTGACAGATGTTGCGTTTACTGTCAATGTGAACTGAGTTGCCACTGGAGTATGTCAGGTCTCAAATACCACCTGCTGGCCAAGCACACAGCTGATGCAGAGAGCTGTCCTCCCCCTCACCAAAGGCAGACGCTGGATAGTTTGCAGGCCAGGCGCCTGGACAACTCTACAAGCAACAGACTTTCAACGCCGAGAGCTAAATGGGCGACTACAGCTCACAGGCTGACTAACACTGTGGAGGACGAAGTCTGCTTGAAATAATTCACATCGCAGCCAAAGACCGTACATATGAACTGACTTCAAGAGCCACCGCTGTAACCAAGATGCACAACTTGTATGAAGACGAGAAGCTAAAGTGGAGGAGGTGTTGAGACAGACGAACAAGGCTGGCTCAGCGGAGACAACTGGACTTGTCTCAGTAATCGGGACCCTTTGAGGTACATTTAGAAGCAGTGGTGCAAGAAGTGTGGTGGATTACAGGAAATCCAAACATATTGTACACTCTCCCCTTTGTATACGAGGAACGGAGGTTCAGAGGGTGGACAGCTTTAAGTTCCTTGGTGTGCATATCTCTGTTGACCTCACTTGAACTACACACATCTCTTATTAGGTGAGGAAGGCTTACCAAAGACTGTACTTCCTCAGAAAACTAAGGAACGCCCGCCTCCCTCAGACTCGATTGATAAACTTTTATAGATCAGCAATAGAGAGCATTCTGACCTATTGCTGCACTGCATGGTTTAGTAGCTGTACAGTGGAAAACAGGAAGATCTACAGCGGGTGGTTAGACCGGCAGAAAAATCCATTGGCTCCCCCCCCAGTGATATTTATACAGATAGCAATAGAAAAAAAAGGCCAGATACATTTCTTTGGACAATACTCATCCTGGATACAGGCTGTTTACCCTATTGCCCTCTGGGAAAACGTACAAATTGATCAAATCCAGAGTAATAGATTAAAAAATAGCTTCTATCCGGAAGCTGTGAAATCTCTTACACCATCGGTTTCCGCCCTTAACATATGAGTGTAATAACTTGGTTTCGTTGCATGGAGGGAAGTATCATGGATTATGCAAAGTGCAATAACTAGGTTTGGCTTGCATACTTATTGCTTATGGCTTGCATTGATGCTATCATAGTCATAGGTATAATAATGCTGTCATCTAGACATAATTATTTACTGTATAACATAATGTAGTTTTATACAGGATTTTAAAAGTGCTCAAAAACCGAACTAGCATGGTGCTGTTTTTGCCAGTTGGGCGTGGAGTCCATTCATTTTAACTACAGTACTTAACATGGCTAAATGGAATGCAGCTTCTATGTTGGCATCAGTGAATCTGTGATCGACCTCGTGGTCTGTTGAAGGAAGCCATGAACGCCTTCATCCAGGATGCCCTTCATCCAGGATGCACTTAGACTCAGTCAAGCCTTGCTTTGTCTCGTTATCTTGGATTTTGTCATTGTACTTTTGTGAAGCAGTTCTACCTGGAACCTGTATAACCCAAACTCTGTGGTCTCCAGGTGAGCAGAGACTCTGATGAGGAGTGGACTCACCTAACCTCCAGAGAGGTCGACCCCTCCACTGGAGAACTGCAGTCCCTGCAGCCCAAGGAACAGGGCCAGGACCTGGACTCCCCTACAGGATCACAGGGATCCCTGTCAGGTGGGCTGCAGAGACCTCCAGGGGACCAGGGGTCTTAGAGAGGCAGCTCTGTACCCACACCTGCCTCAAGGTAAGGCCACATCCTGCACACAGTCTGAGCCATTTAATTCTCTATTGTGTCCCTGCTGACCTCTGACCTGCTCCCCCACAGAGGCGGACCCCCACTTGGTGGAGTCTCTGGCCCACATGCTGTCTATGGGCTTCACTGACGAGGGTGGCTGGTTGACTCGACTTCTTCAGGCCAAAAACTTCGACATTGGAGCCGCACTTGACGCCATCCAATACGCCAAGCAGCCTCACCTACACAAACCCTGATGATGTCATCACTGACATCACCTCTACTAAACATAACCAGTTTGTCAGTTAATTACTGTTACCATTAATCACTACCTATAACTTGTTAATCTGTTAACCCACTGATCAGTTTGCATTGTTAATACTTTAACTCAATGATCAATCTAGTCAGTACTTTAACACACAAATTCCTGTCTGTATTGCTTTCTTCTTGATCATTGACATTTCTCTGTTAATCTGAACAATAAAAGCATCAAGAACTTAACTAAAGATTTTTAAAGTGAAGTTTATTTTGACTCAGGCATCACAACAAATAACAAAAATATAAATAGAATGTACAAAGCTCACCAAATATCATCTGACCAACAATGGTCATTATATAATAGAGGCCCAAAAACAATTGATCATTCAACAGACCGTTCCTTAGTTGTTACTTGACTAATAGAAAATCTCAAACACCTAAATCAGTAGTGGACTAATCAACTGAAAGTCAGCACAGCAGTTGTGGAATTGAACCGATTCTCACTGACATTCTTGCATCTTATAAAGTGACAGCGTGTCAGTCACTGTTCAGTTGTTCAACATAACTGAATTAAGCAGTCTGTAGTCACTTCTGTATAACAGCAGAATAAACTAAAAGAACTGTTCTTCCTCACGTTAGTCTGTCAGAAACTCATCATCGAAGCTGAAATCCTCCCTGCTCTCAAACATGGAGGAAACAGGAGGGGGGAGGGAGGCCCTGCCGATTACATCATAGCAGGGCAGATAAGTGGCTCCACCCACTGACTCTTCCCCTTCCTGCCCCTGACAATCAGAACTGAGAAAAGGATCCCACTTAGAGACCGGAGTAGTACTCCTACAGGGAAGACTGGACTGGATCACACTGGGAGGATTAATACTCTTCTTACTGGAAAGACTGGACTGGTTTGGACTGGTGGTTTTCAGACAGGGAGGACTGGTTGTGGCTGAAAGTCTACATAGTTTCAGACTGGAGCAGTGTGCCTGCAGAGGGAAGAAGAGGTTTGGTAATTTAAAGGAACAGTCTTGAGATTTCTCTATAGTTCCTCTGGGAACTAACCTGTAAACTGTGCTGCTTATTAGTATTAAAGAATGAAAAACTAGGATAAATTGTTGCCTTTAATACTACTCACATTTTTTGGTGCTTTATAATTGATATTGGTCAAATTAGTTTTCATGCATGCAGCATGTTATTCATTACTCCTATGTTGTGGAGGGGTACTTGGCATGATTTGCCTGAGCTGGTGGAAGCGACTGTGCAGCAACACTATCCCTGGCCGTGAGTAAATAAGGCGTGCCAGTTATCTAAAGAAAGTACTGTACGTGTCTCATGTTAAAATACATTTATTTTAACTTTGCTTTATTTCTATAAAACCTTGCATTCCTATAGGTGAGTGATGTACTTTTCAGGATCTTCTCTGGGCCACGAGGGTCCGTGCAGACGTTGACGTACAGGCCACACGTCTGTGTCCATGCAGACGATCCACGCAGCAAAAGCCCTGACTACGCATGTACCACAAGAAGAAGGGTTATTTTATCTTTTATTGTCATTGTACCTCGTACAACAAAATATAGTTTTGAGCTCAGGGCCCTGCGCCGCCATCACGGGCAACTTGGGGGGGGTTCAGTGTCTTGCCCAAGGACACTTTGACACGTGGACTGCAGGTACCGAGATTAGAACCATCAACCTTGCTGTTGGGAGACGACTGCTCTACCCACCACACCACTTTTGCCCCCCAACGCTTTGAAACCATCAGTATACGTGGACAAAAGACAGACCCTTGATTTGAAGTATGAATGTTGTGTCCCTCATTTGTGTACCCAAGAAGTTATCCACATAATACGTCTAGCTCTAAAGCTAACAGGTGGTGTTAATAAATGTTGGTGATGTCAGCATGCTACCTGCTCAAGTGCCCAGCCACCTCTTCTTTTCCTGTAAAACAAAGATTTTGATTATGTTAAAAATACTGTACAAACATCAGCTTTACGACATTACATGTTCTCATGGGGTATTCACTGACATATATTACTTTCAAGAACAAAATGTGAAACTATATTGGCTTTGTGTTAACCACAGACCTTATTTCAGGCATCTAACCAAAATCCCATTCGAAATACCATAGACTTCAGGGTGATGGAACTGGAAGTGTAAAAATGCTAAACTCTGTTCTGGGTTTTAGGACTTACTACTATGGCACTCTATACACAATCTCTACGGTCACACCTGTCAGTTATTTTGTTGCCATGGAGCTTCTGTCTGTACATCAAAACATCCTTCTCTTCTTTCCATGGCTCTGCTTCCTCAGGTGGGTCCAGGTATTTGCTCCAGCGGCTCACCTGAGCCTGTTTCACCTATAGACAGTGAGAGTGAGGAGCTGAATGGTCTGACAGGTGATTTTCTATGAAATGATATTTTTGAAATATAAAACAGAAGCTAATACACTTCAGGACATTTAAAGGAAAAGACCTGTCTGGGTGTTCCCAACTGGTGGCCGGTTTCTGCCTCAGCCTCCTCTTCCCTGTCTGGCCCCACCCGTTTCCTGTTAACAGGTGAGAATACCTGACTAACCGTGAAGTATCTTGTGGAACTAAAGAAGCGGCAGTGTATTGTGGGAGAGGCTGGTTACCAGATGTTGGCCTCCTGCTCCTCCATTTTGGCTCCTCTCATGGCATTCAGTTTCTGAACGTGACGTCTACAGTCAGCCCCAGGGCCCCGCCCAAATTCCTGTCATTCAATCAATCAGGAAAATTTTAATTTAAAATGAGAACTGTCTGTTCTGACAAAAGATTAATTCCTCTGGTTTTTGCCTCAGATACACATATGCCTGGCCTGGAAAGAGTTTAATAACATTAAAAAAGTGCTCTGAGATCTCCGAGTTTACCTTAACATTTGCTTCATCTAAATCATCAACATGTCTCCTGGACCCCATCCCAACCAGGCTGCTCAAAGACGTCTTTCCCCTAATCAACACATCCATACTA